AAAAGAAGGAAGGGAAAATTGGGGAAAAAAATATATATATACACAAGATATCTAAGATAATTATACTACTAATTTCTACTAGTTCATTGATAGGCACAGTTAGTGCTTATATTGCTTGATCAATTTTGCATGCCTATATCTGGTAATCTGAGCAACTACTTTGAAGATAACAATATGCAATATAATAACCATTGTTAATTTCCTGTCATCTTGCTTTGAAATTCTGTATCATTTTTGGTTTTTCTTCTCTCTTTAAAATAAAAAAAAAAAAAAGATGTAATCCCAGCACTTGGGAGGCTGAGGCAGGAGAATCATTGTGAGTTCGAGACCAGCCTGGGCTACAAAGTGAGCTCAAGGTCACTTTGAACTGCATAGAGAGACTTTGTCTCAAAAAGACAAAATAAAATAAAATAAAATAAGAAAGAAAGAAAGAAAGAGAAGGAGAGAACAAACATAGCAAGGACTAGCAAAGATACGCAGAAACCAGAAACCTCATTTACTGCTGTTGGGAATGGAAAGTGCTACGGCCACCTTGGGAAACAATCTGGCAACTCTTCAGAAAGGTTGAACAGAATTACCATATGATCTCAGTAATTCTTCCCCAAGAGAACTAAAAACGTATGTCCATACAAAACTTGTATGCAGCAGCATTATTCACAAAACAAAAAAATAAAAGCAACCCAAATGTCTAACAACCAATGAGTAAACAAAAACTGTGTAGTGTTATCCTCAATGGAATATTACTCAGCCATAAGAAAGGAATGAAGTACCATTACATCCTGCAACACAGATGAACCTGGAAATACACTAAATGAAAGAACCAGTCACGAAGACCCCATAAGGCTTTCTATAAGACCCCATATATATGAAACATCCGGATCAGGGAGATCAATATAATCAGAAAGGTCAGGGGTTGCCCAGGGGCTGGCAGTGAGGAGTGGGAAGCTCAGAGATTGTTAATGGGTACAACATTTCTTTGGGGGGTGTTGATGAAAAATACTCTGAAACTGATTGTGGTGATGGCTGAACAGTCCTGGGACTACACCAAAAACCTAAAGCTAAAAATTATAATTCTACTAAAATTAATTATATACACTAAATGAGTGGATTGTATGGGATATGAATTATCTCAATAAATCAATTATTGCCCAAAGGAGGAGAAGGAGGGGAAAGATGACCTGGAAGAGCTGGAGGAGGAGGAGGAAGGTGAGGAGGAGGAGAAGAGGATGAAGAGGAAGAGAAGGAGAAGGGAACTCTGGGTTTCCCTCCCCTGGGATTTGCCCAGTTCTAATAGGATTATTTCATCATCACTGCAGCTTTTAGTCACCGAGTCCAAAGGCCTTTGTTTCTCACCCAAAGTGCTCCATCTACAGGGCTGGGGACCTGTCCTTAAGGTGGGAAGGATGCTGGGGAGCACCTGGGCCATTTCCCGGGGGGCCAAGCCCTGGAGGCGCGTCAGACCAAGGTCCACCTTCCCCACCCTGCACCCTCACAACTCCTCAGGGATTGACACTGCTATCTTCACTCCCAAGGTCACCAAGCTCCCAACTTAGAAGTAATTACTGGGGGCAGGGACAAGTAGAGAGGAGCCACCCACCCCCACTGCTCTGCATACCTGGAGTGTGTGACTCCTCATGCCCTCCCTCCAGGCCTCAGTTTACCCATCCAAGAGAAGAGCCGAGAAGTCACGTGGCCTCTCAGTTTCTCTCTAGTTCCTCTTCTTCTTCTTTTTTTCCCAGTGCTGGAGATTGAACCCAGGGCCTCATGCTTGCTAGGCAAGTATTCAACCATGAGCTTTACCTCCAACTTTACTTTTGAGACAGGGTCTTCCCAAGTGGCCCATCCTGGCCTTAAAGTCACAATCCTCCTGCCTCAGCCTCTTAAAGAGCTGGGATGATAGATGTGGTCACCATGCCCAGCTCCCCTCCAGTTCTTTCTTTTTTTTTTTCCATCTCTTTGAGACAGGGTCTCACTATGCAGTTCAGGCTGGCCTTGAGCTCACTTTGTAGCCCAGGCTGGTCTCGAACTTGCAACGATCCTCCTGCCTCAGCCTCCCAAGTGCTGGGATTACAGGTGTGTGCCACCACACCCAGCTCCTCTCCAGTTCTGATGCACTCTGATCCTCTGAGATTGGGGAGAGAAACCAGGAGGCCACCGCCAGAAAGAACAGGTAGAAGGAGGGGACCATGTGGAGCCAACCCAGATAGGAAAGAAAGCAGGTCAGCCACACAGGCAAAGAGAGAGGTGGACACCAAACTCAGGGAGGAGACAACTCCCCCAAGGGCCCCTGTGACTGCAGTGCCATGTCCCCTCCAGCGATGGTCCTTGGCCTGGGCCCCTGGAATGCAAACTCTGGGGGCACCTTGTGTTTCTGGTTGGGAGCATCCTGTCTCAGCTTCCCAGCATGCAGCTCCCTGTGGAACAGCTCAGCACCAGGGCAAAGGAGATTTATCTACTCCTGTGCCAGGGTGAGGAGGCATGCCAGCCCTCCCCAAACCTGTTCACTGTGCTCTCCTCCAGATTAAAAAGCAAATCCAATACGTGCATTTGGTTTCCAAATGACATACTTGGGGCGGCTAATGCATGCAGTGTGTACAATCTAAAATGCACCTAAGAGACACTGTGAAAGACCTACAGGGACACATTCAACTCCACCCAGTGTCCCAGCAGCCTGCCCAGCACCCCCAGGAGGACGAGCAGCAAAGCCAGGCTCTGCAGGACACAAGCTGAACCTCAGCCGGCAGCGTGGAGGGCCTTTCCTCTTGCTGCAGGCAAAGGACAGTGAGTCTATGACAAATCTGTACAAACCAGGGAGAAAAAGACTGACAGGGAGGGACAGGTAGAGGAGGGAGGTGGAACATGAGAGGGAAACAGGCGGTGACTTAGGGCTGGAAAGCAAGAGCGAGCAGGAGATGTGGGCAGGGCAGGCAGGAGCCACAGCAACCCCAGGCAGGTGTCCCGGGAGAAAGGACTGGGGAGAGGGGGTCTGGGTGCAGCCACTCTCACCCCAGGCACTGTGGTTCCTGTAGTCGCAGAACTCCACACCCTTGGGCCGCGGGTAGAAGATGTAGGCACAGCCACACTTCTCAATCATGCTCTCCTGGAAGCAGGAGTGGATGCAAACCTGGAAGAGGACAGAGGAAAGGTGAGGCCTGGCCCTGTCCCTCCCCAGGCTGCACCTGTGTCCTGCTTCCCAGAGGCCCCCCAGCCGCTCCCCTCCCCCGTGGGCCACCAGCGCAGGCCTGGGCACCGGTGGCCAGAGGAACAAGGCGGCCTCACCTGCTGAGTGTACTTGGAAGGGTACAGGTTCTGGACAGGAACGTCACTACCGTTCTGGGTGCAGTCTCCATAATTGCCCCCAAGTCTGTCCAGGGCTTCCTGGGACCCACACATACAGCGGTCAGAGGGGAGAGGTCAGAGCAAGCAGCCCAGGCTCCAGCCTGGCTTCTCCGTCTTCTTCCCTCAGTCCTGGGTTCTAGTTCCCCAGCACCTGCTATCTGCCTCACCTTCGGCAAACACTGCAGGCACCCCCAGTGCCCATCTCCCCAACACAGACTCTAGACAGGGCTCAGAGCGCCCCCTGGGGCCCTAAGCATGTCCAGCACCCACTCTCAGCCTTTCTCACCGAAGAGGTACTTCCCAGTGCCCCTCTGCCAGCCCCTTTGCTCCTCATTCTGCTCCTGAAGACCTCCCTGCACTTGCTCCATGATCTCTGCTCACCTGCCCCCCCAACTCCCCGCACCCCACTGGCGTCCTTGCCTTCCGCATGCTGATGGAGGTCTCCACACCGGGCCGCAAGTTGAAGCCACCGTCATCCATAAAGGCTGGCTCATCCTGCCCATGCACCGTGACCCTGGCCCCAGTCACCGTGGACAGCAGGGGGATGTAGTCATTCTGCTCCGTGCGCAGTGTCAGGGAAAGACCTGGGGGCACAGTGGGAGCAGAGTTGGGGTGGGGGGAGCCTGGGAGAAGAGGAGAGGATGAAAACTCACCAGCCCACCCTGCCTGATTGCTAAGCTCCACGGGGCCAGGAGGACTTGGACTCTGGGGAGGAAGGACTGGGATAGGATTTTCCTTATGCCTGGAGTAGACAGTGCCCTCGGAAAGAACAGAGAGGCCCAAAAGTACGCGGCAACTCCCGGATGTGAGCCCAAGGTGAGTAAAAGTGGGTGGCTAGGGTGGTGGGAAGGGTAGGGGCAGAGGGTGGCAACCCGGAAGCAGGACTTCTCACCGTTGTTGATCCCTGGCATGGAAGACATCCAGAGGCTGGAGTCATTCTTGTTATTGAAAGTGTAGCAGTTGCCATATATCGGGTGGTGGAAGTGAGAGTAGTTCCTTGGCAGGAGAGAGAGAGAGGCAGCAGGGTCAGAGTGGAAGGTACAGGTGGTCAGGGGAGCAGAGAGATGACGGAGAGAGGAAACCATTCCTTTCAACTCCTCCAGGAGCCATTTGTTCTTAATCACCTGCTGACACAGCTGCGAGCTTTACCCGTGATCACTCTGTCACTCCAGACAACAGCCTGGGGAAGCCTCATCCTCTCCTCTCATCACACAAGAGGAAGCTCAGGCTCCAGCTGGCACAAGGTCACATGGACAGTGATGATGGACCTGGGATTCAGATCCAGGTCCTCCACCTGCCAGCCCAGGCTCCTCCCACAGGCCATGTGACCTCACTGGTCTTATCCATGCTGCCTGGTGAGTAGTCTTGTGTTGCTGTGGTGCCTTAGGAAGACTCTTGCTATTCCCTAACTTTTCATGTCTAAGTCTTAGTTCCTCACTTGGATTGCAAGCTCCTTGAGGACAGCAGCCACATCTCATTCATCTCGGTATCTTCTTGGGGTTAGTTACATGGTTCCCTCCTATGGAAGGCAGTCAATAAATGATGGTTGGATGGATGGATGGATGGATGGATGGATGGGTGGGTGGGTGGATGGGGGTGGATAGATGGATGGGTGGGTAGATAGATTGATGGGGGTTGGACGGGTGGATGGGTGGGTGGATAGGTGGGTGGGGGGGTGGGTGAGTGGATAGATGGATGGGTGGATGGGTGAGTGGATGGATGGGTGGAGAAAGGGAGGGGAGCAGTTCGAGAGTGAGATCCATGGTGAGCATACTGCTGAGAGGAGGAAGTACAGAGCCAGGGCAAGAAGGAGGCTGAGTGTTCTCAAGAGGCCTCTTCATTCATCAGCATGTCTCAGATTGCTATGGCCAGGGCCCATCTGCGACAGGTGGAGGACTCATCAAGAGAAAGCAACCACAGAGGCAATGCTGCGGCAACATAACTTCACAGCAGATGGCAGGTTCAAAGCCTGGAGGCTGTGTAGGAGTGCAGCAAGAGCTCACTTGGGCAGAGTGGGATCTATGTCCTACCACCCCGCCATCTCCACACTGGTCATGGAAGCAGGGGAAGGTGGAGATGGGGGTTTCCCTGTGAGCGGCAGAGAAGGAATAAAGAGAAGTCAGAGGGAGAGGGTAGGCCAGACAGCAGGAGTGGGGTTCTGGTAGCATGGTCTTGAAAACATGGTTACTTCTAAACTACTTTGCAAAATGGGGAGCGTGAAGCTAGATGATCTGGAATACCCCTGGCCTTAATAAGCAGAGGCAGAGGTATGAAATACTGGGGTACATTTTGGTATTTGCATTTGGAGTGGAGGCAGAGAAGGGATGAGGAGGAGGCTATGGAAGTGGCTGGTCCTGAAGAGCCACTGCGTCCACTGGCTGGGAGAGGGGACGGGCGCAGCACGGTGGCTGTGCTATGGAGGGCGTGCGTGCAGCAGGTGCGTCAGCAGACCGACGCAGCAATGTGGACAGATGGGAAACATGCAGAGTTTAGTTTCCTTTAAAAAAAAGGAGCAGTGGGATCATGTAGATAGCACATCACTTATGTAAATCAAATATAAATTTTACAAAAACACACAGAGAAATATACATCAAGGACATTAATATATAGTGGCCTATGAGAAACTGTGTAGTAGGATCGTTAAGAGCACAGACTCCAGGGGCTGGGGATTTAGCTCAGCGGCAAAAGCGCCTGCCTGGCAAGCGCAAGGTTGTGAGTTCGGTTCCCGGTACCGGAGAAAAACCAAAAAAAAAGAGCACAGACTCCAGGACAGAACTTCTTGCATTTGAGTCCTAGGTCTAGCAAGGATCAGAAATGGGAACAAATAAGTGACTTAGTCTCTGTATACCTCAGCTGTCTTATGTGTAAAATGAGGGTAATAAAAGTACCTCACAGGGGTGCTAAGGATCAAATTACACTCAGAACAGCATTAGCACTAATTGACAGCTATCTGATAATGAATTTATAAGGATTAGGAGGACTACATTTAAAATTTTAAAAAGACAGACGATAACAATGGAGGATGTGGAGAATTTAGAACCCTCAGACAATGGTGTTGGGAATGTCAGTGCAGCCATTCAGCAAAGTCTAGCATTCCTCAAAAGGTTAAATGTAGTTACCATAGGGCCCAGCAATTCCACTTCTAGGTGTATCGTAGGAGAAATGAAAACATATATCCAAACAAAAACCGGCCCAGGAATATTCTTATCAGCTTTATTCACAATAGTAAAAAGTGGGAATAAGCTAGGTATGGTGGCCCACACTTACAATACCAGCACTTGGGAGGCTGAGGCAGGAGGACTGCCATCAGTTCAAGGCCAACCTGGGCTATACAGTGAGTCCATGGCCAGCCTGGACTACATAGTGAGATCCTGGCTCCAAAAAAACCCCTCCCCCAAAACAAAAGTGGGAAGAGAGCTGGGGATGTGGCTCAGTGATACAGCACTTGCCTAGCATACAGGAGTTCTGGGTTCCATCCCTAGTACCAAAGAGTGGGAACAACCCAACTGAAGAACTGATGAATAAAAAAATACGGTATAGCTACACAATATAGCATTATTTAGCATAAAAAGAAATGAAGTTCTGATGCATACTAAGCATGAATGAACCATGAAAACATGTCCGTCAGTCACAAAAGACCCTGTATTGTATAAGTCCCTTTATATGAAATGTCACAGTAGGGAATCCAGAGAGACAGGAAGCAGATTAATAGTTGCCAGGGCTTGGAGAAAGGGCAGAAATGAAAAAGAACTGCTAACAGAGACCAGGTTTCTTTTGGGGGTGAGAAAAATGGTCTAAAATTAGACAGTAGTGATGGTTGCACAACTTTGGATATATTGAAAACCAGTAAACTGCACACACTGAAAGGAAGACTTCTATAGCCTGGGAGCTATATTGCAGTAAAGAGTTATTAAAGAAGAGACACGGGCCAGGGATGGAGCTCAGTGGTAGAGCACCTGTCTAAACTGCTTGAGCTGCGTGCCCAGACACACACATACACACTCAGCAGGAGGGGGCAGGATTTGGAGAGGGGTGAGAACATCATACTAAGGAGGTTCAACTTGATTCTAAATGCCCTGGAAAGACTTTAAACAGGCCTAACTGGAATAGTTGAAGTACAGTAAAGTAAGAATAGTGAATACAAAGCTTCCTGCACTGTGGCTCAGATGTGTGTCCCAATTCATGCATCAGAAGCTGAATCCCTGATGTGGGGAGCGCTTAGCAGGAGGTGACTAGGTCTCCGCAATGGCTCCATGCCATTATGGAGGAAGCGCTCGTTATTGTGGGAAAGGTTGTTCTACACTTGAGCCTGTGCTTCCTGCTTTCTCTTTCAAATGCACAAACGCAGGTCCACAGCCCTTCTGTTTTCCACGGTGGTGTGCTAGGAGGCCTCATCCATGCCAGCACCACTCTCTCAGGCTTGCCAGACTCCAATGCTGTGAGACATCAGTTTCTTTTCTTTATGAATTACTCAGCCTGTGGTACCCAATTATAGCGACAGAAAACAGACTAAGATATTTCCTGAGGCCACAGGGCAAAGGAGGACTTAAATGAGAAAGAGCATGGTGGCCATAACCCAGGAGAGAAAGGAAGAGGTGACCTGAGCGCCAGAGCCAAGATGGACAATGGACTTGCTACCATGGAAAGCAGCAGCACAGCAGGCAAAGAGTGAGAACTGCAGGTGGGCGGTGACAGTGGGGAGGCTGGTGGCAGCTGCGGCCTGACTCAGACTGATCTGCCTTGCTTCCCAGCTGCCAGCTTCTGCCCTCAAACAAACACAGTGACTAGAGACAGGAGCAGAGTGTGTGCACACCGGGGAGTGGTGGGGGCTGAGGAGGTGGCCCTTGGCCCTGCTGCTGTCCTCCAGCTGTGGGTGCCTCCCTCACCAGCTGCATCGCTTGAGTAAAAGGCACTAAAGGCAAGGACTGTATTTTTTCCCTCTGATGTATCCCCGATATCTAGAATAATGTCTGACACATAGTTCAGAGAGTCAAAAATGTTTGTCAAACACATGTTGAATGAATCTCCTTTTTGTGTTTTGTTTTCAAAGAGAAAGTTTCTGGAGCTGATGTGCACTCCTCAGCATCACAGGGCGAAGACAGTGACCAATTACCTCAGCTCAGGACCACCTGCCAGGCCTGCATAAGCTTCGGAGCCAAAGAGGAAGAAGCCGCAGAAAGACCAAGCCCCGGGCTCCCGGCCCTGCTTTCTCAAAGCCAGACCTCAATTCCCAGAGCAAGGGAGGCCACTGTACCCAGACACTGCAGAGAGCAGAAGTTGCGGGGGATCTTGGGGCAGACTCACGCCTGGGTGCACGGGACCTGGTTGAAGCGGCAGGTGAAAATGAAGTTGCCCAGCGCCTCCTCCTCCAGCGAGGGCGAGGTGTCAGGCAGCCGAGCCAGAATGTTGATGTAGTGGAAGCGGTACCACTCACGCACCGCGTCCACCCCCGACGAGGAGGTCTGGTAGAAGCAGTCCGATTTGTCCTGGTTGCACTGGACACAGAGGCCTGATGTCAGCAGGTCCGGGGGCCAAGGTCACAGAAGAGGGGTCAGGAGCCCTGAGGGCCGGGAGCGTAGGGAGGAGGGGTAGAACAGGAGGAGAGAGGAGCAGAAACGCCCCAGAGAGTGGATGGGAGAACAAGGTACGGAGGGAGCAGTAGGCCAAACATCGAAGGGCTTCGGTTCATTTACACAGCCCCGCGCCGGGGGTGGGGGGCGGGATTCACCCCATTTCCCTGGGGAAGGGGGGAAGATGAGGGATCGAGCGGTTTGTAGGCAACAGCAGAATTCTGGAGGTGCGGCCCACTGTCGCTACAGAGGTCTCCCTCCCCCTCCTATTTCCTCCCATTCTCCCTTTTATTATTTTTTAAATTTTTTAACTTTCGACTTTTGAGATCCGGTCTTACTATGTAGCCCAGGCTGGCCTCAAGCTTCAGTGATCCTCCTGCCTCAGTCTCCCGACTGCTGGGATAACAGGCTTGTGCCACCACGCCCAGCTCTATATTGTATTTTTAAAATACCTTTAAATCTGCCATTTCACTGTCCTCTTAGCGTCTGTTTTAAACTGTTGGGGCCTTACATCATCATACTGGAAGGTCCACCCCCAGCGTCTGCCACACCAGTGGGGACTGGGAATTCAGAAAGTACATTTTCTAAAATACCCAACACAAGCCGTGCTGCCGCACAGACAGATGTGATTGATTGACTGATTGATTTAACTACTTATTTGCCCGCAAATCATGGTCCTGCCTCCATCGCTATTCTGAGGAGGGGGGTCGGGAGAGGAGGGCTGATGGGCGGGGCGGGCGGTGGGCGGGGCCTTACCAGCTGGAAGCCTATCTTCCAGTCCTTCCGGTCCACCTTGGGGTTGTTGTCCCGCACGCTGGAGGTCTCGCTGCTGCGCGCTCTGCGGGCCCCGGGCGGGACCGGGATGCGCTGCAGCAGGTGCGGCAGGGTCTCCTCGAGGCTGCGCCGGCTGCGGGCACCGGCCAGGAGGGTGCTGGAGGCGTTGTACTTGTACAGGTCGAAGAGCGTCTGCTCTGTGATGCGGTCCAGCTCCCTCAGCTGCTCTTTAATTTCCTTGTACCTGGAACGTGTTGCGGGGGAGGCACATGGACCACGCGAGCGAAACCCTCGCCCCTCTGGACCTCAGTTTCCCCAGTGTAACGGGGCAGGCCGGTTGATCCCCGCGAATCCTGCGGGGGGTCGCTGCACGGGCAGGGGGCCCCGCGGGGACACGGGGGGGGGGGCTCCAGGAGCCGGGCCGTGGCGGAGCAAGGCCGGCCGCCCGTGGGTGGCGCTGTCCTCGTCCCTCGCTGCCCGCGGGGAACCGGAACTCGCGGCTCTGTCGCGGGGGGCGGGGGCGGCCACTCGCGGGTTGTCCTGCCCTGACCCTCAGGGAGGGTGGCGTTTGGGCCACTGTCTGCCGCCTGTAACCTTTGCAATCAAGGGTTCTCAGCTGCACTTTAAGAACCTTCCAGAGGAATTCTGAAAATACGGGCTGCCGCAGCTACCCCCCTTGCTCCCGAAAAGACCCAGTTTTAATGAGTTTCGGGTGGGGCCAGGCACTATAAACACTGTTCTGAATAAATCCTCACATTCCTTCTTCTCAGGCCTGGCCCTGTTACCATCCACATGATGAAAGTTCATATCACTGGGCTTTACGATTATAATCTACCAAAACAAACATCTGGACCTAATAAACAAGATTTCAGGACACAAGACCAATATGCAAAACTAGCAACAAAAAAGGAAAATGAAATCACAAAACAACCCCTATGCTATATAGCATAACATCCAATATCGAGCAATAAGTCTAATAAAAGATGTGCAAGACCTCTGCACTGAAAACCCTGCTGAAGAAATCAAAAAACAAAACAAAACAACAACAACCAAAAAAAAAAGGGGGGGGGGAGTTACAGATGTTTGTAGATCAGAAGCTCAGTATAGTTAGGATGCTTCCCAAATTGGTCATTAGATTTGACAATCCAGGCCTAATTTCCAGCAGACATGTTTAAAGAAATTGACAGGCTGGTTCTAAGATTGATATGGAGATACAAAGAGCATACAATAGCCAAAACAGATTTGGAAAAGAAAAGCAAAAGCCAGGCATTGCAGCACAGACCTGTGGTCCCAGCCCTGGAAGGATACGAAGTTGGAACCCAAGCTGGACAACTTAGTGACTTAACCAAAACACTGTCTCAACATAAAAAAAAATTTTAAATTTAAAAAGATTAAAGAGGGGTGGGGAGAAGGCTCAATGTGAACGTACTGGGTTCAAGCCCCAGTACCACATTAAAAAAAAAAATAAAACTGAGGTAGGCAGAGTGGCTCACACCTGTAATCCTGACCATTGAAGAGGCTGAGGCAAGAGGATCACAAATTCACAGCCAGTTTGGACAACTGAACAAGACCCTGTCTCAGAATAAAGTAATAAAAAGGGCTGGGTCTATAGCTCAGGACTTCCTGGTTTTAATATCCAGTACCACAGGAAAGGAGAGAGAGAGAGAGAGAGAACTTCTACTACCTGACCCTAATATTTGCTCTAAAACCATAGTAACCAAAACAGTGTGGTTCTTAGAAAAGATAAACAATGAATGGGAGCAGGAGTCCAAAAATAAGCTCACATGTATAATGTGGTCAACTAATCTTTTTTTTTTTTTTTTTTTTTGAGACAAGGTTTCTGTGTAGTTAGGCTGGGCTTGAACTACACGGTAGTAGTCCAGGGTGGTCTTGAACTCACAGCAAACCTTCTACCTCAGTCTCCCAAGTACTGGGATTATAGGCATGCACCACCATGCCCACTTAATTTTTGACCAAAGCACTGATTCAATTCAATAGGGCAAATAGAAAACTTGGTATTGTAACAACTGGATACAGTATAGGAAAAAAATGACCCTCAACCTCCACCTTACTCTAGGCACAAAAGTTAATTCGGGATTGACCATAGTACTAAATGTAAATTTCGTGACCATAAAAGCTTTAGAAAATGGAATATAACTGCATGACTGAGGTAGACAAAATTTTCTTGTAAGAAAAATATCTAATGAAGAATCCTACAACAACTTTATGATGTAGACACTCTTATGAACAGATTTACATTTTTATGAAATCTCTCTGGTCTTCATGCACTGCTGGAGAGAAAAATAATACAAGCATTTGAGAAAAGAATCTGGAAGTTTCTCAAAAGAGAAATTATAATCTATATAATCCACCATTTCCACTCCTAAGAGAAATAAGAACATGTGCCTACACAGAAAAATTCTGCACAGATGTTCATAGTAGAGCTCGTAATAGCCACAATGTAGAAAAAACCCAAATATCCCTCAGTTGATACGAGTATAAATAAAGCATGGTCCACCTGTGCACTCCAATATTATTCCACAAAGAAGAGGAATTAAGTACCAGTACATGCTACAGCATGGAAAAATTTTGAGCCATTACACTCGCAGAAGTAAGTGAAAGAAGCCACTCACAGACAATACCACATATGGTATGATTCAATTTATGTGAAATCCTCCAAATAGACAACTCTTATAGAGACAGAAAGCACATTACTGGTTGCCCAAAATGGGATGAGTGGGGTGGAGGAAAAGGTGAGCACCACTTCAGGATATGGAGCTTCCTTTTGGAGTAATGAAAATGTTGTATAATTTATTGTGACCATAATTGCACAATTCTTGAATATAATAAAGACTATTGAACTGTACATGTTTAGTGGGTAAATTGTATCATATATAAATTATATCTCAATTAAGCTATTATTAAAAGAAAAAAAGAGAACTATCTAAGGAATAACTTATCCTGATACATAAAAAACTCTTACAATAAAAAGACAAAAAGATTAATGGGCCAGGTGTGGTGGCACAAGCCTGTAATCCTGGAATGCAGGAGGCTGGGACAGGATGATCTTTATGAGTTCAAGGCCAGTCTGGGCTACAAAGTGAGCTCAAGGCCAGCCTGAACTGCATAGGGAGGCCCTGTCTCAAAAAGAAAAAAAAAAAAATGACCACTAACTACATGAAAAATTACTCGACATAATTAATCCTGAAGGAAGTACAAATTAAACCCTAGGGCAGTGCCACTGTAACATCCATTAGAAGACAGCACAGTGAGGAGATGGATAGGATGGTGCTCCTGCCAGCACACTGTCTTCTGTCCTGTCCCAGAAAGTCCACCAGAGCTAGAGCAGCCAGATGTGGATCCTGGTGTCCCAGCTGCACGCTCTAGCCATGTAAGGCTGGGTAGGGTAACAGAGCCTTCTGCATCCCAGCCTCAGCTCCTCGTCTATGAACTGGGTACAGTGCTAGAGCTTCCCTCACACAAAGCTCTTGAGAAATTCAGTGAGGAAATATTCCAAGTCACAAAGGAAGATATGGACAGGGACCCAAGGCCCAGGAAAGTGGGGTGTCTTTCTCTAGGCCACACAGGAAGTATCCAGGTGGCCCAGCTTGGCTGAAATTATTTCCAAGGCACAAGCCATAACTTCTCTGTGAGGACCTCGTTTTCCCCTCTGTGCTCCTCCACTACCCCATATGCCTCCCTCTCGTCCATCACCAACGCCAAGCTGTCACTGCTCTGGCCATTCTGCTCTCCTAGTTGCTCCCCCCCTGTGCCCGCATCACTGTGCTGGGCTTTCCCTGCAGTGCTCCTGCCTCCTCCAGGAGGACCTTACAAGCACACACCCAGTACAACACCTAGCCATGACAAGGCCCCTTGAAGAGGTCAGGCTCCACACAGGACTCTCACTCTCCTAGGTCACCTCCCCCCTTTTTGACAAAGAAATCTTTCCTTCCCTAAATCCCTGACACTAGGAATTCCTCTAACATGAGGCAGGGCCTGTGAGTTGGGAGAATTGATCACAAAGCAAAATACACTAAAGACTTGACTCTTGTCCTGAGGAGGCCAGGGGCTAGAAAGAAGGGATCAAGAAGGCCTATAATGGGCTCACCTATAATCCCAGCAACCTGGGATGCTGAGGCAGGACTATTGCAAATTTGAGCCTAACCTGAGCAGTTTAGCAAATTAGTGAGACCCTTTTTCAATAAAAAAAAGGACTGGAGATATAGCACAGTGTGAAGGCCTTGGTTCGGCCCACAGTGAAGAATCACTGCCATAGGGCTTGAGCAAGACCACCCAGCCCATCTAGCCTTGACCTCCTGTCCAGGCCACGACCACTGCTCTCATCCCTTCTGCCCTGGTATGCAGCCCTGCCTTGCAGCCTGGGCAAATCCTTGAATAACTCCATGAGGCAGAAACTGCTCTCTCCATCCACAGCCCAGGAAACTGAGCCTCAGCCACTAGGCAACTTCCCAGGATCACTCAGTGAGGCAGTACCCAGGATTTGAACACAGGCTGGTCGGACTGCAGGGGCTCCTGCTTTTTTCATTGCTGCCTCCAGCTTCAACTCACTTAAGATCAGACCGTAGCACCTGGTGTCCTTGTTGCTGGGCACCTCCCCTCCAGCCCCGCTTCTCTGTAAAGGTCAGGTAGGCCAGCAGGGTGCAGGGCCTGGGAGGTGTGGGGGCAGACACCCCTGCTCTCTTCTATCTGTCTCCTCCTCCCCTCCTACCCCATGCTGTCACACTTGCCGAGGTGCCCATCCTCCCCACTCAGGGCCCCCAAGGGTGCACTCTCATTGACAGTGCAGCATATACGACGGAGCTGGACATAGGAAACGTGCCAGCCTCCTGCCTACCCAGAAGCTTCTCTTTCCTTTCCAGGCCCTCTGCCCCACCCTGTTCTTCCCCACCCCTCTGCACCTCCAGTCTTGTCTCCCAGGGAGCTCTGAGCCCCAGTAGAGCCCTCCCACCCCACATGTCCCCTCTGAGTCCAGCCTCACCATAAGGTATTCACAGCAAGTGCCCTACAAGTGGCCCTCACCCCTGTTCCCTGTGAGCTCAGCGCTCACCCTTTGAGTGGGTTCTGAGCTCTCAGACTATACATGGAGGTCAGTCCTGACCACAACCTTTTTTCTTTTCTTACTACCAGGGATTATTGCACCCAGGGCCTTCACACTGAGCTACATCCCTAGCTCTTTCTTTTTATTTTTTATTTTGAGACAGGGTCTCACTAAGATGCCCAGGCTAGGCTCCAACTGGTGATCCTCCTGCCTCAGCCTCCCAAAGTGCTAGTATTACAGGTATGTGCCACCACACCTAGCTGTGGCCACATTTTAAGACCAAAACATGCTTACAAGTCAACAGCTGTTCAGATGATGGACAGCGAGGGTAGTAAGAGGTCTAGAAATCATTCATTTTTGGAAAAGTTAGAGTAATCAAGTTCTAACGAGCTTTCTGGGCTCATACCTGAACCTCGCCACTAATGAGCTGGTTGGCTTCCAACAAGTTACTTACCATCTTTGGGTCTCTCTTTCACCATCTGTGAAATGGGAGAAGTAATAGCACTGGTGTCCTTGGTCATTCTGAGGACTACATGAGTTACTATGTATGAGAAGCCTGCACAAAGTACCTGGCAGAGTGGGTCCTGTGCACCTGTCACTGCTGTGTTGAGTGTCACTGTTGTTATTCTCCTCAGAGAAAAACAAGCAAAGCAGTCACAGCAGCACTCTCTGTCACCTGTCCGCCATGTGACTTTGTGGTCTTAACAGAACTGGAACTAAAGACCCAGACTCCAGTTCTGACTCCACTCACCAGCTGGGCAACCCCTGCAAAGCCTTCCGGTTTTCTCCTCTGGCTCTGCGGGGCCAGCCCTCACTACCTAAGAAGCCCATGTGGGGATCGAAGTTCCAGAGGGTGTGTGGCGAACTACACAGTGGCAGCACTGTCCTAGCTGCACTTGAACTGACAGCGGCTGGCTGAGGAAGGGGTGACATCTCCAGATGGCTTCACAGAGATGGAACCCGGGCCAGAAGGTGGCAGTCGCAGGGAGATAAACTATAGCTCCACCACTGAGGTCAGAAGGACCCAGCACAAGAGGACAGATCCCCATGGCGGTCTGGGCTCTGAGCCAGGCCTGGGTTCCGACCATGTGGGGCACAGGGCACCCTGGCTTCTCTGCGGGAAGCTGCCTCTCTCCTTGCCCACTCCTCTGCCAGCCCCACTCCGCTGTCTCAGAGTAGAAGAGTCCCTGACTGTCCCTGCTCCTGAGTCCCAAGGTCTTCCTCAGGTGCAGTCTGAATCCCTCCCAGAGCCTAGGTGAAAAGTATGCCTGCAGACTCCACTTTCTAAGGACAGCCTGGCTGTCCTGCTCCTTTGGGTCAAGACGAGAAAGAACAGCCCCACAGTGGGTGACCCTTCCCACTGGATTGTTAACACTTCTGTGCTTAGGTGGACAGCTTGGCAGTCTTTGTTCCCTTTCCTAGAGACGACAAAGTCACACAAGCTCTGCAGTCAGGATCTCTCCCGGCCACCACCAGCCCCCTGCAGTCCTGGGGTCGACGAATCCAGGCATTTGTGCTGAGCTACCGCGCCAGCCCTTTTCAGTTCTTATTTTGAGACTGGTCTTGTTAAATCATTAAGTTGCCAGGCTGTGTTCAACCTTGTGATCCTCCTGTCTCAGCCTTCCAGAGTGTTGGGATTACAGGTATGCACCACATCTACAGGACTAGGGCCATCTTTTTCTCTTTTTTTTGGGGGGGGGCGGGTACCGGAAATCGAACTCAGGATCTTGCGCTTGCCAGACAGGTGCTTGTGCCACTGAGCCATATCCCCAGCAAGGATTTTTTCTTTTTTTTTTGGTACCAGGAAGTGAACTCAGGACCTTGAGCTCGCCAGGCAGGTGCTTGTGCCGCTGAGCTATATCCCTGGCCCTGGCTGCATCTCTCACCAGTTGGACACCCAGGGTGGAACTCTGCCCCAGTCTACTTCCTCTGTCTTAACTGATCCCTATATCCTCCTGTTCCTCCCTGGAGGAGCCGCTCAGCTCCCTGCCTCTGCCCGGCCTCAGTGACTCACATCCAGGGTGGTACGCTGTCCACACACTGGCCTCTCCCCTTCCCCTGGAGCCCTGCCTGGGTCCTGGCCCCTATGCCCAGCCCTCTCCTGGTCGCAGCAGAGGTCTCAACCCTGGACGCCTCTGTGGCTTCCTCTGAAAATGTAATGGGAGGAGGACTTTGATGTCACACATGTTTGGTCTGTGCCTGGCTGCTAACCTGCGGTGCACTGGCTCTTAGTTGGAGAGACAGAGTTTTAAGATCAGGCACAGCACTGGGGATAGAACTCACAGAGCACTGGGTTATATGCTCAGCCCTTTCTGAACTTGGGTGATTTTACACAACTCTCTGGGCCTCACTTTTCTCATCTATAAAATGGAAATACTAATGTACTACCTCCAACATCTGCTGTGAGGATTAAATAATTTAATTCAGATTTAAATTCATTTAGAAATACTGCATATGTGCTTTACCTGTTATTGTTTTATTATTAGCTGTATGGCCTTGCTCATTTTCACCTTGCAGAGACTCAGTGTGCTCAGCTGAAAAATGGAAATACACCAAATGCCCTCCCCCTTAGACTTGCCAGGGTTAAATGAGGCTGTGTTCATAAAGCACCCAGCATGGGTCCAGCACAGATAGGGGAACAGTCTCCTGCTCCTGTTTTGACACACTCTCTTTGCTAAGCCCTGCAGCAGTGGATACCTCTTTCCAAACTTGGGGTCCTCGGGGACTATGGTTTCCATCCCCAGGGGATTGAGCTTAGCCTTTCCAAGGCCCTGCACCCAGCAGAGCCCTCGAAAATGAGCAGATTCACCCCTGCCCTCTCCATATCTCTACATCTTTACAGCCACAAATATTTATTGAGTGCTGCTACCCAGCCCACGTCCCTCCCCTGACAGGCCCTCCCCTTCCTGCTCTGCCCCCACCCTCCAGCATGCAGAAGGGGTGGGGGGCCTACAAGGAAAGGAGGCCGGGGAAGAGGCACCCAGACGGCCCTCTAATGAGCAGTGAAAACGTCTCACTGGGAAGTCGTCTAGTCCCAGCTCCACATCTCGGGTATTAAAGAGAGCAAGTTACAGGAGCAGGCAAACAGAGTGAGTCACGGTTCAGTCACTGTCTCTGTGACCTGGGGACTTGTTTCTCTCTGCCTCAGTTTCTTCATGTAAAATAGGGATATTATTAGCTCTTGCCTTGGGAGAGTTTGTGAAAATCACTGAGACGGCTGTAAAATCCTCACAGTGTTCGGTGCCTACAGCAGCTTCCTTAGTAAGTGGCTCTGCCCTCCACAGTGTGGGAGGCAGCTCCCTCTCCAGGACTCCCCAGCCCTTCTTAGCCCATGACACATCAGGAGGCCTCCACCCCAACATGTGACCAATCCCAATCACCCATAATCACACGCATTCCCCTTGTGTGTACTCACTCACACTCACGCTCAGACAAACACTCATTAAAGGCCTCACACATTTTTATTATTCTTATCACAGTAGGCTGCTGTTGCGGGTTTATATGCCTTCCTCCTGCTTTTAGCCTTCTCTGCCCAATACCTAGAAAAGTACCTGGCCCTCAATAAAGGCTGTTGAATTATTAATAAATTCATTTTACCTGGTGCCTAGCACTGTGCCCGGGGATGCAAGTGTTCCCAAGGTGTGGTGCCTAGTGAGTGAATGCAAATAAAAGGTCTGCACAAACACCCAGCCCTGCCTCCTCTCCTCGCCAAGGTTACCACCCCCTCTGCCTCCCAACCCAAACTGGCAAAGAGCACTGCTGAAACCCAAAACTGTGAGACACACCCAAGCCCTTAAAGGTCAGGCACCTGGGCAGGTGAACGGAGCAGCCCAGCAGGGAGCACCTTCACCAAGTAGCCTGGGTCTTTAGGGCACAGCTCCCCATTCTCCTGCGGGCTCTGTAACCCCTACCCCAAGGCTGGCTTTGGAGCCCTGACCTCTAGCGCCTGCCATGTTGCTTTCTGCACGAAGCCCAACCTCACCTCCCCTCTCCCTCCTCCTCACCCTCCTCACTGCCTGCAGGGCGTCTCCTCACGTCACCTGGCTTCACCTCTGCATCGGACTTGTGTGCTTGAGCCCAGGATTGAACCCAGGGCCTCGGCGAGCTGCCCTACACCCTCCCACTGAGCCTCTGTTCTCAGCTGTCCTCTTGCTCCAAGGAGGATGAGGCTGCCCTAGACCCTGTCCTTTTGGAAGTAGTGAGTGTGTTGACCTCCCCAGTGCTCCCCCCCACTTGCCAGAGGGTGAGGGACAGGGACATGGTGGGGAGGGCATTGCTGGCCCAACCCCACTCTCTGTGTCAGGCAACACCCAAGACAGGACAGCTCCACTGGGCAGAGATGCCAGGGCTCACTGTGGTGCCCGAGGGAGTCCCTGGGGGGTCTGCAGGAGTGTGGTGTGGCCGAGGGTCTGCCTGACGAAAGGTGAGCACATCAGTCCCTCTGGCCACCCTCTGCAAGTGGTGCAAACAGACTGACCTGTAGGGGTTGAGGGTGCAGACAGTGACAGCAGGGAAGACGAGCTTGTCAGAGTTGACGTTGATGTTGAGGCTGACAGGGTAACTGAAGTACTCTCCAAACAGCAGGGCAAACTGCCAGTACATCATGCCGAAGGTGCTGAGCCAGAGAACAGCCCAGAAAGCCGTCTTCATACGGTTGTGCTTGGAGCACACGAGGCGGATGGCGCCGTGGATGGTGGTGTTGTTGCAGAAGAACTGGAAGAGCTCGCGGTAGGAGCGGTGGAACTCAATCAGGGCCTCCTCCTCCTCTGTGTGCTGCTGGAGGGCGGGGGGCTCTGGGCCCAGCCCTGGCTGCTCACACTTGTCCCCCTTCAGCGGCCCTGGGAGGGGCCGGGGAGGGAGAGGGCCTTGCGCCTTGAGCTCATCACCCTTCATTGAGCCCTAAGGTGGGTTGGAGAGGCAAGGGTCAGGGTCAAGGTCAAGACTGAGAGTGGGGCTCTGGAAGCCTTCCCCCATCACCACCTTGAACCAGAGGGCAGCTGCCCTTGCCAATGCCCACATCCACCCTGAGCCTACTCCCCCCGCCCCCGCCGCACCCCACCCTGCTCACCTCTCCAGGAGCCAGCTGACCTGCTGCAGAGTCGGGCCAATGGGCTGGCGCTGGGCCTCCCTGGAGCGGCCTCTCTCCTCCAGATAAAGCCACCTTTGGCTTTCCGCACTGGCACCTCCCTGTTGTCTCCACGGCAGGTCCTGCCTGGTTCTCGGACTCCCTCAGGCCCTCTTCCTGCAGAACTCTGGCTTGGCTCCTGCCTCTCACCTCCTGTCTGCTGTCGTCTGCTCCTCTTTGGGCGTCTCTCTGCTTTCTTGCCTGCCCCTTCTCCCTGTGCCAGCTCCTCTGATCCTGCCTCTCTTCCTCTTCCTCCCGTGCCTTCCTTCTCAGCTGGCCCTCTTGTCCCTGGCCCGGCCTCCTGCCCTGTCCTGCCTCCCTCGCTGCCCCACTGAATGCAGGGCTTCAGGAGGTCGGAGCTGCCTCCAGCTCCCCACTCCCAGGCGTGGTTGGGCTGAGACTGGTTCCTTTCCAGTTGAGTCTGGCAGCCAAGCTTCTCCTCCCCCTCACCTGACAGGTGCAGCGGCAGCCCAGGGGCCGCCCGTCGGTGAGGGATGGAAGCGGCAGAAGCCTCATTAGCATCTCAATTAAAGGTGAGCAGGGCAGGGGGAGGGGTAGAGGAGGAGTCCCGGCTGGGAGCTCTCCCCAGGAAAGAGGTCTCCTGGGGACAGGTGAGCCTAGGCCAGTGGAGACCAAGAGTCTGAGCTGGGGATTGATGGGGAGCTGACAGGCAAGGGGACTGGGGACAGAAGGACAGGTGAAGGTCAGAGATCTCAGACAGGTAGAAGGGTTCTGAACACCAAGCCAGGAGGGCAACACAGAAAGGAGGATGAGCCTGAGGAGTGAGACCAGGGTGTGAAAGCCGGGTGAACAGAGAAGGCAGAAAAAGGCAGAAAAAGCCGGGTGAACAGAGAAGGCAGAAAAGGGGATGGAAGAGGACAGGGTAGCGGGCTAGGGGTGGGTGGAAGAGGCCATGAGGTGAAGACACAAGAGAGCAAGAGGGCGCAGATGAGGGAGCCACCCCACCCCCGGTCTGCCCTCAGGCAGAAGAGCAGGGAGACCCTGCTGGGGCCCCTCTTGGAATGCCTGCGTCAGCCTTGAGCAAGGTCCTGCAGAGAAGGGGTCTTTGTAGAAGTGGGAACACCTTGCAGCCCCACCTGCCTCTTCCTCCTCTCCGTCCTCCTGTCTCCAGACTCCTCACCCCCCAGCCCCCTCCAGACCAAGGAGGGGCCCAGGGGCAGCTAGGGGCTGGGCCCGGCCCCAGGACATTCTGTTCTGTTTTACACCATTGGCTGCCAGGCCAAGAATGTGTAATGTCCCCTATTGTGGTCACGGGGTTGCAGGAATGTGGGCATGGGAGGTAGCATCGGGCTGGACAGGGCACTGTGGGCACAGACAAGGAGCCTCAAGAAAGGCAGAGCCAGCGGGCACTGAGAGGGAGTGGGGTATGTTAGCACCGGTGCTTGGGAGGAAGAAGGTGGCGTGACCCCAGGCTACAGGACCAGGGAAGGAAAGAAAGGCTAAGCTGGTAGGGGCTCTGGCTTCCCTAAAACTTCTGCACAGACTTGGTCCAGAAGAGAATGGAGACGGAGGCACCAAGCAGTGAGCAGGTGGAGAGGGAAGTCAGAGAATCGGCTCAAAGGTGGCTCAAGGAGCCACAGTGAGTCTGTTCACACAGCCCAGGCCTTGCACAGCCAATGGCAGGTCTGCCACCCCTGGGCCTGTGGGAGGCAGCCAGAGGTGGGGACGCACCTTCCTGCCTCCCTCCCTCCTGCAGCTGGCATAGGCCGTCTTGGGCGCTCCCCCTACAGACACAAACCCAGCTGGGGCCAAGAGTCAGGCCTGGAGGTGGAGGGCAGTTCAGAGGAGATAAGGACGCCAGAGGCAAGATAAGGACCAAGTCTGTGGGAGTCTCCAGGACTTGCTTCCACATGAGATCCCATAGATAGTGACATCTCAGCTGGATCGAGAAAAAGAAGGGATTTGCCTGGCAAAGAAGAGGGACAGAGGGATCCTCCAGACTCTCAGTATAGCCCGCTTTTGTGGCTTCTTACAGCAAGGACTAGTGTCAGTCAGGGTTCCAACACTGGTTCAGCTGCCTACCTTGACACCTGCTCATGCAACCGGCCTCAGGAGGGAAAGGCTGGCTCATTCTTCCAGGTGACACAAATGGCTATTTACAAGCACAAGCCAGTTCTCTAACATCCCACAGCAAAATGACAGCAGGGTTATAAACAGAATTAGGAATTCTGCTCCATAGGAGTTGTCTGCTATCTCAGTCACTTTCCTTGCTGCTGGGACAAAACCACTGACACCCACATGGTGAAGGAGGAGAGGTTTGTTTTAGCTCATGTTCTAGAAGTTTCAGTCCTTGCATGGTCCATGGTGTGGTGGAAGGGGCTGGGTGGAGGAGAGCTGCTCAGGTCATGGTGGCCAGGAAGCAGAAAACAGCAGAGCCCAGGAGATGTCCAGGCCACACCCCAGGGATCCACCTCTCCCACCAGGTCCTATCTCCGAACAGCTGAGCCCATATAATCCAGTCACCTTCCACAAGCCCCTAAACACATGAGGCTTTGAGGGGGGACATCCAAAAAACCCTTAACTTCTGCTTAACACGTTTACCGTTCACTTAGGGAGCCAAACCAGCCACAGATTTGAGGCCATCAGGCCTCCCTTGCACCTGGACTTGCAGGCCTGCAGGCGTTCGTTCTCTCCACATAGCGCCCTTGGATCCAGCAGCTCTCTGGGTACTGGACTGTGTCCCTGGCTCTGAGAAAAACTCCACAGTTCCCAGACACCCTGAAATAAGCCAGGTCCTTAAACTAGCATTCTACAAACAGGTTGCCTGGCTCCCTGACTGTGTGATCTCAAAGGTTCTGCAAAGCTCCTCCCTGCCTTTTCTATTTGCTCCCTGGTACCTGCAAGCCAATCACAGGCTTAAGGTAACATGACAAATAGTTTTCATCTCAAGGGCTTAAAGAGAAGCACTTCGAGGCCTGGTCTGGAGTGTGGGGTGACCCAGGCAGGAAGGGCCAGGATAAGAGCGGCTGAGAAGTCACAGCAGCGAATATCTGGAACAGCCCAGAGCAAGCTTGTCATGAGCAAAACAGAAAACTGAGACCTGCGCTTTCATTAGAAGTACATAGAACAATCAGAGCTTCCCTTTGTCCTGTTCTTTTTCCTCCTCTCAGCCCAAGGGGACCCACTGTAATTTGTGCATCTCTCTGTGTGCCCTTGTAGGCTTGTTGGACCATGCGATAGGTATTATTCTGATTTCTGTTTTTGCTTTTAGGCTGGATGACTTCGGAAAAGGCACCTTATCTCTCTGGGTTGCAGCGCTCTTGTCTGAAAAATGATGGGCAGGAGGGGGTAGGGTAAGGCATCTGGGTGGCCAGCTGAGCAGCGTTGAGCCCCTTGCTTAGCGCGTGAGGGAACGGAGTGAGGCCCAGAGAAGCAAAATCTCTTGCCTGCAACCACCCAGCGTGGGGGTGGGGTCATGCTGAGAACTTAGCCTCATCCGTCCATGCTCAGTTCTGCCCTGGCTTCAGAGGAAGGGGATCAGGAGCCTACCAGACCGTGCCTAGGAAGGACCCTTTGATCAGGGCCCCCCAGCCTCTCCCAGAGCCCAGTTTTTCCTTCCTACCCAGGGCTCCCTTCCCCACCACAGTGTGGCCGTAATATGCAAAGGCTTCTGGGAAAGAACCGGAGCCAGAGCACCTGCAGTGGGATGCGGGGAAGGAGTTGGAAGGTCTTCCTGATGGAAGGCATCACTTCTCTACACTGTGGCAGAACCTACCCTACTTCGTGCTGCTGTTTACTAGTCTAGTCTGTGCCCAGGCACACATGTGCACAGCCTTACGGACTTGGGGGTCTTATCAGGAGTTCTCTGAGGACAGGGACCCAGTTTTTTCATCTTGATGGCCACAGGGTCTAGAGGTGTAGAGGTCACTTGTGTTGACCGATCCACTTTGCAGAAAGAATTAGTCTCCTGGGTAAGACTCGGGATTTCTTTTTGACTGGAATGTGCACTGAGAAAGCATCCTCCAAATCATCCTGACTTCCTCTGATAACCCATTCATTTGTGGTCTATGAATCCAAGTTTTCTTTACTTTTTTCTCTTCAGCTTCTAAACTTCCTAGGGTAAAAATGAATTATTCAATGAAATGCACTCTTTAGTCTTACAAGAGCTAATTAGCTGCTCCACATTGAGTTGTGTACGGAGGAAGACAGCTGTCCTCTTACCTTCACTTACAGAAAATAAATCTAGAAAGATGGACCAAACTGTCCCTCCTGCTACTCTTAGTCTGGTGACCCAGAGGCATACTTAGCGGCCCTGCTACAGCTTTATCCCTTTGGCTAAGACAGGGTTTCTCAACCTCAGCACCACAGATCTTTCTGCTGGGTCATTCTTTTTTGACAGAGCTGCCCTGTGAGCTGTGGGCTGTTTAGCAGCATCCTGGGGCTCTACCCACTAGCAGACAGTACCCTCTTTCCCTGAAAGTAAGACCTAGCCAGAAAAGAATCAGCCTTGAAAACTAGAGATCAAAAACGCCAGCCCAAATCAGCCTATCTTTTTTTTTTTTTTTTTTTTTTTTTTTTTTCT